AGATGGACAGAGAGTGAGATAAAGGGACAGAGTGAGACAGATGGACAGAGAGTGAGATAAAGGGACAGAGTGAGACAGATGGACAGAGAGTGAGACAGAGGGACACAGTGTGAGACAAAAGGACAGGGTGTGAGACGGGGGGACAGAGAGTGAGACAGAGGGTCACAGTGTGAGACAAAAGGACAGAGGGTGAGACAAAAGGACAAAGGGTGAGACAGATGGACAGTGTGAGACAGAGGGACAGAGAGTGAGACAGAGGGACACAGTGTGAGAGAGTGTGAGACAGAGGGACAGAAAGTGAGGCAGAGAGACAATGTGATACAGAGGGACAGATAGTGAGACAGATGGACAGAGAGTGAGATAGAGGGACAGAGTGAGACAGAGGGACAGAGAGTCAGACAAGGGGAAATAATGTAAAACAAAAGAACAGAGTGTGAGACAGAGGGACAGAGGGTGAGACAGAGGGACACAGTGTAAGACAAAAGGACAGAGGGTGAGACAGAGGGACAAAGGGTGAGACAGATGGACAGTGTGAGACAGAGGGACAGAGAGTGAGACAGAGGGACAGAGTGTGAAACAGAGGGACAGAGAGTGAGGCAGAGAGACAGTGTGATACAAAGGGAGAGAGAGTGTGACAGAGGGACAGAATGTGAGACAAAGGACAAAGAGTGAGACAAAAGGACAAAGTGTGAGTCAGAGGGACAGAGACTGAGACAGAGGTAAAAACTGTGAGACAGACGGACAGAGAGTGATACAGAGGGACAGAGAGCAAGACAGAGGGACATAATGTGAGACAAAAGGACAGAGGGTGAGACAGAGGGACAAAAGGTGAGACAGATGGACAGTGTGAGACAGAGGGACAGAAAGTGAGACAGAGGGACAGAGTGTGATACAGAGGGAGAGAGAGTGCGACAGAGGGACAGAATGTGAGACAAAGGACAAAGAGTGAGACAAATGACAAAGTGTGAGTCAGAGGGACAGAGAGTGATACAGAGGGACAGAGGGCAAGACAGCTGGACATAATGTGAGACAAAAGGACAGAGTGTGAGACAGATGCACAGTGTGAGACAGAGAGTGAGACAGAGGGACAGAGTGTGAGACATAGGGACAGAGAGTGAGGCAGAGAGACAGTGTGATACAGAGGGAGAGAGTGCGAAAGAGGGACAGAATGTAAGACAAAAGGACAGAGGGTGAGACAGAGGGACAGAGTGTGAGACAGAGGGACAGTGTGAGACAGAGAGACAGAGGGTGAGACAGAGGGACAGTGTGAGACAGAGGGAGAGACAGAGGGACAGTGTGAGACAGAGGGAGAGACAGAGGGACAGTGTGAGACAGAGGGTGAGACAGAGGGACAGTGTGAGACAGAGGGACAGGGAGTGAGACAGAGGAACAGGGATGCAGGAGGGGCGGCGGCATGTCAGCCTGATCACAGACCGATCTGCTGCTGCTGTCTGGCTGAAACCCCGCCAGTTTGTTTTGTAAGCTCTGCACACAGGTGGAAGAAGAGGAAGAGGAGGGAAAAGAGGAGGGAGAGGAAGGAGAAGAGGAAGAGGAGGAGGCCTTTTACTTTAACAGTGAGTGAGCTTTATTAATCGAAGTTAGCTTTCGATTCGATGCTGCAGTAAAGGGCTGTTCCGCTGTTTTTAATGACCGCCTTCTTTTAATCACCATTAAACTAGAGTATTTATACACTTAAATAGAATATTCATTCATAATCCTGGGAATAAAACAGTAAGAAATCAATTATGCTGGTAGAGCATCCATTATAATAATGTAAAATGTATCTGCCCTTTTTGAGCTTCATTTTTAGTGATAATTTGCAGTAACACCGCCCTGATCTCATCAACTGTGGACAAGTTTCAAGGAACAACAGTTCCTGTTGTGTATTTTTGTAAATTATTTCTACATTAATGCGTCTTAAAAATGATATGATTTGATCTGGGTTGATTAACAGTTCAAAAGAAAACATTTAATAGAACAAAAAAATAAAATGAAACATTGTGAGTTCTGACTACATACTACACACTACAAAGGTATTAATGCTTGGTGTTTAACCGTCAACAGTTCTTTAAAAATGATTATTTAGCTAACAGGAGCGCTGTAGTACACCGAGCTTATTATTATTATTGTTTTGTTTGGAAATTTGGTTTAGTTGGCCGAAAAGTGCGGACTAGCCCTTTAACAGCGAGAACGAGTCGGAAGCTAACTTCAGCTACTTTAGCCGATAGCTGCCACTGCTAGCTGTAGCCGAGCGCTGTGATGCAGCAGATAAGCAAGCTAACACTGACCCCAAAAGGTCTGCTTTTATAAAGTGGGGCACTTTGGACCGGTCTACTTGCTGGTAAGCTGTTTTAAAGCCTTTTATTGGAGCTCCGCTGGAAGGTGTCACCGCTCTGTTCGGCTGGTTTCTGAAGCTTTATCTGTTTTAATGGGAAGGAGTTAGCTTAAATTAGCAACAGCAGCAGCGCTGCTTGGTTAAAACCTGTATTTTTGGTTCCGTCAGTAACCTCATTGTCAACAAACTGGTGCCGTCGGAGCTCTTAACAGAACCCGGACAGGCTGCTAAGGTTACTGGGCTTAGGTTCAGGTCTGTACTGGGAACCAGTCTGCTGTGGAGCTGTCAGATTGGTGCAACTGTTGGTAATAATAGCAGCAGAAACCGAGGTTCTGGACTCTGTTCAGCCGGTTCTGGACTCTGTTCAGCCGGTTCTGGACTCTGTTCAGCCGGTTCTGGACTCAGCCGGTCCGTTGGGCTCCTAACAGACCCAGAACTGTGGTTGCAGATGAGTTCCTGTCAGTCACTGTGTTTTTGTCTTAATCTGTAATGGATTATCAGCCTGTTCTCATGTGGCTGTAAATCTGCATTCATGCAAAATAAGCGCAGCATGTCGCCAATAAAAATGCGTAAAATGGGAATGTGAGTGAAGCGAATGATTTTTAGTTGTGAACCAGACTGGGAGCTCTGACCCAGCCCTGTCACTGCTCTTACATAACCAGCTGCTGCCAGCATTTTCCTCTCAGCCTTTCAGCACAGAGCAGGAAGCTGCAGCCGGGAAAATAGTCCCATCATTAGGCCCTGTTCAGCAGAGCTCAGATGGATTCAGGTCTGGACTTTGACTAGGCCATTTGAACCAGTGAATCTGCTGCAATCTAAGCAAGGAGCTTGAAGAACTGAGGATCTGGTGGACTTGAAGAAATGAGCCCTGATCCAAACCATCCCACTGAGGTGCTGGTTTTAGGCTTCTTCTCCTGCTGGGAGGGGAACCACCAACAGCTGCCACCAAATTTAGGCCCATCTATCTTCCCATCAACCCCCGATCAATCCACTTTATTTATACAGCACAATTAACAACAGTAAAAGTTTCCAATGTGCTGTACATAACCAATAATAAACAACAACACAACAATAAATAAACTAAAAAGGACACAGAGGACCACACAAACTACACGTTGTTAAATGCGTAAAAAAATGAGTAAAAGTGTGTCTTTAGATGAGAATTAAAACACTCCACCATAGAGGTAGTCCGTATATGGAGGGGCAAAGTTTTCCAAAGTTTGGGGCCAACTGCAGCAAAGGCTCTGGCTTTAAGCCTTGTCTTTGGCCCTATTAACTGAAGATGGCCCTCAGATCACGTGCCGGAGAATAAATCTGGAGGAGATCAGGGATGTATTGAAGAGTCATCCCATTCAGAGCTCTAAACACAAACAATAAAAGCTTAAAATCAATTCTAAAACAAACAGGGAGCCAGTAATGTAATGTGTTGATGTTTTTAGGCTGACAGGAAAGGGGGATTTGAACCGTACTAAAGACCAAATTATGCTTCTCATGCATAGCCTCTGCAACCGTCAAATCTGTCTCTGTGCGCCTCAAAAAAAATCCTGACTACGCGTCCGACGGTCGCAAACCTGTGCAGACCTCAAGCGGAAGTGCGCAAACAAAAAGCAGCTGTGATTGGTCCTCCTTTCCGGCTGTCTGTGTGGTCGTCCTTCTGGATTCGGTGCCGGAGCGCGCCATTTTTTAAAAACCGAGGAACAACTACGATGGACAACCATGTTAATCGAGGAGGTTCGCTTCATTAACAGAACCTGTTCCTCTTCGATGTCTAGCAACTTTAGATCCATCACTGTGACCGTAATATCTTGCAGATGCACCATTGTTGTGGTGCAACAATGGTGCCAAAGTTCTCGTGATCATCCGCCGAAGTTCTTTTGGCGGGAAACTGCTGTGCGTCCCTAGAAATTCTAGTCCGACGGTGCAGAAGCATACCAGCAAAACTGGTTTAGCGACCAGACCCAAGCGGCATTTGATGTGTGCGGTTGCAGAAGTCTAACCTGCCCTTAAGGCGTCCGTACATGGGTCGTGTGCGCTAACCTCTGCTCCACCAAAACGCGCCCAAAGGACATAATTTTAAGGCTGGTTTTCGTGTTCTTCCTACAAGCAGCCAGATCCTCTTGAACTAAACTAGAGCGTCTTTGTCTTTCAGCTGTTGATGGATTTTTTCTCAGGATTTCATTGATTGATCTAAAATTGAGCAGCAAACCCTTTCAAGCTTTCTTTAGGTTCTTCGAGGTCCTGGAGGTCTTTCTTGTGAGCCTTGCTGCTTTTTTTTAAGAGTTTCAGTCCAGCAGAGGTGAAAGAACAGCAACCAGAACCATGTTTACCATTCTAAAAAGGAGCAGACACATTTTAGTCCATTTTAAACCATGTTTGGTTTTAACTGGATTCTACTGGTCTATCAGATGCAGCTTATCTGCTGCAGACGCTCCAACCTTTGGATTCAACACTTTCAGCCTCCTCATATTTGAAGAGACACTTTCCTCGCCATGCTGAGGAAGACTGACCTTCCTCCTGGGGTGATTCATCTGAGGAGATTTAGAAACTAATACTTCATTCCTGCTCGAATCCTCTGCAGTAAACGCTCAGCTTTAGACTGCTTCCAGGTGTAGATGTTCTCCTCTCCTGGCAAAGAAAACCAGACCTGGTTAAGATCGATCAGGACAGGAGTTTCAGCCCACTGTGTGGGTCCTAATCTGAAGGATTCAGTCGCAGCGCTCCGTCGTTGGAGCCGATTTAGCCTGGAAATGTTAGCACCCATCAGAAGTTTGGTTGATGGTCACCAGACCCCGACCCTCAAAGTTCCAAGCTGTAAACTGGATCCAGGTGGTCCTGCTGGACCTGAAGGTGATGGATTTCACTGATGGGACCTTGGCTCCGCTTGAATGGGAATCCTCACCATCACACTGGTCAAGCAGGGCGAGTATTTCCTGTTAGGAGCCTGAAGGTTAAAACCTACTGGATCTGGGAGGCGCTGCAGTGAGGTCAGCCTGTGGCGTCAGATTTCTTAAACCCAGAAATAAATCAATTTTAATCAAGGCGGAAAACACGGTTAGGAATAATAATTTTTTATCTAAATGTACCTTTTAAATGTATGTATAACAGTTGTTGGTGATTCCAGCTAATAGTTTATGGGCTTAAATATGACGTGACTCATAATTCTGTTACTCTCAGTCACTCTTCTAAATAGGAAAGGAGGCAATTTTCTTCCATTAATGTTGAAAAAACACGTTTTGAAAATTTAATAAAAAAAGATACAATCTAGAATTGAAAATTTGTATCTATGCTTCTTTTTCTATGTCTGCTTCTGTCTCCTTGAACCCCAGTCGGCCTCAGCAGATGGCCGCTCACACTGAGCCTGGTTCTGCTGGAGGTTACTTCCTGTTCAAAGGGAGTTTTTCCTCTCCACTTTCGCTACAAGCATGCTTAGTGTGAGGGATTGCCTTTGAATCAACGAGTCGATGCAATCAACTGGTTTTCCTTAGATAGAAAACCTTTAATCATCTGACTGGATGATCTGGTTGAACTGTAAAGTGCCTTCAGATGACGTGTTGTGAATTGGCGCTATAGAAATAAACTGAATTGAATACAATTGAATTTCAATTAAAAAGATTTAGAGAATTATTGTTTTATTGGATTTTATTTTAATATTTTGCAGATCTATCTTTCAAATAAAAAAAAAATCAGATTAAAATTTCCCAGATTTTATTTATTTTTTAAATCTTTTTTTATTTATTTACTTAGTTTTGGACGGCACTAGTGTCTGATTTTTCTGACAGCAGGCTTACAGGAGAAGGGGTATGAGAGAGGGGGAGAGACATGCGGCAAAGGACCACAGTCCGGATTGGAACCCGGGTCAGCCGCATCGAGGACTAAGGCCTCCATGGGTCGTGCAGGCTAACCACTGCGCCACCTGCAAGCCCCAGATTTTGTATTTTTTTTGCATTTTTCTTTCTAGATTGAGTTTTAGGAGTTGCATTGTTTTCAGATTGCTTCTTGCTGGTCACTTTCTCTTCACTTTAACCCTGTAATACCAAATGTATCATATTTGATACATACAGTTTCTGAAATGTTTTGCGTCTGAAACCTTTTGCATAATTTAATGGTAAAAACTTTGCTCAAAATCCTATTGTTCACAATCAGATACACCTGATAACAGAGGGCAGAAGACTACACAAAAAATAATCTTGACTTATCGCATTGTAATAAATTATTAATATCAAAAATGTATTTCTGTTTTTTTTCTTTTTACATATTTTGATAAAAGGCCAAATAAGGACTTTAAACCAAAAAAAAGTAAATTTCTGTTTTGTTTTATTCTTGGATCGGGCTTTAAAGGGTTAAACCCAATAAAAACATTCTCACTAACCTACTGCAGACAAATAGAAATGCATCTTCAATTCAGTTTATTTCTATATCACCAATTCACATCATGTCATCTCAGGTCACTTTATTCAACCAGATCATCCAATCAGATTGATTCAAAGTTTTCTATCTAAGGAAAACCAGCTGATTGCATCGACTCATTGACTCTTCAGCAATCCCTCACCCTAAGCATGGTGTCATCTTCTTCACCCTGAAGGATATCCCACCTCCAGAAGTAAACGGGAAGCGTTCCGTAAAACATCATTAGAAAAGAATGAAAACAAAAATTTGAAAAGAAAAATGTTTAGGAATAAAGTCTGAGAAAGTAAAGCTGCTAAAGGTCTGTGAGGAAATAAAAGAGCATTAAAACACAATGAAAAGCTCAACGAGTTGCATCATAGAAAAAAAGATCACAATGTTTATTGAATTGAAAAGTAACGAAAAGTGTTTTTGTTATTGTCTGATGCAGAATTCAGTCAGAGTTCCTGTTTGGATGGAAAGCTGCTGCAGTACAGATCAGGAACTAAACAGAACTAAATTAGTTCATTTTTAGGTGTATTTTCTACTGGTGCTTTATCTGCAGTAGAATAGACACTCTAAAGGACGTTTCTAAACGAGTTATTATCTGCATTAACTGAGGAAGATTGTTTATCTTCATTTGTTTTAGATAAAAGCATCTAATGCATGATCCTCACCACAGTAATGCTTCCTCAGTAATACTGCTGATTGCAAGGCTTCATCAACTCTCTGAAATACCAGGAAGATGGAGATAAAGTGTAAGAAATCGAACATGATTGATGTTTCAGTGGGATAATGATCGGAACTTTGAAGCAGAAACCTTTTAACCTGAAGCTCGGCCCCCTGGTAATCATGGCGATAGCTCCAAACGTTTGGAGGGTTTATTCCGCTATGAAAGGTTGTGTTCCTGGGATCGAACGCACGGTCCGGTTCTAACCGACCTCTGCCCTTTGATCAGAAGTAAAAACATTTGTTCTAACGCTGGCTGTGAACCAGAGGAAAACGGAGCAAACTCCATGTTTTCTCTGAGCTTAGGAATGAAACGGGAGCAGAAAGGAAAACCTTGAAATGTTCTGTGTCTGCTTCCAGGACTGATGGCTCCAGAGTGACACGCCATGGCGCTGATGATCCCCCCAGTTAAACTCAAATGGCTGGAGCACCTGAACAGCTCGTGGATCACGGAGGACAGCGAGTCCATCGCCACGCGGGACGGGGTGTCGCTGCTCTACTCCAAGCTGCTGGCCAACAAAGAGGTGGTGCTGCTCCCCCAGCAGGTGCTGTGCCTGAAGGGCCCCCAGCTGCCGGACTTTGAGCGCGACTCCCTCTCCAGCGATGAGCAGGAGCACTACCTGGACGCCCTGCTCAGCAGCCAGCTGGCCTTGGCCAAGATGGTGTGCTCTGACTCGCCGTTCGCCGCCGCGCTGCGGAAACGCGTGCTGGTGCTGCAGCGCATCTTCTACGCTCTCTCCAACAAGTACCACGACAAAGGCAAGGTGAAGCAGCAGCAGCACTCCCCAGAGAGCACCTCGGGTTCGGCTGACCTGCACTCCGTCAGCGAGCGCCCGCGCTCCAGCACCGACGCCCTCATCGAGATGGGCGTCCGCACGGGCCTCAGCCTGCTGTTCGCGCTGCTGCGCCAGAGCTGGATGATGCCGCCTCCCCCAGGCGGCGGCGGCGGCCAAGGAGCCAGCATCAACCTTTGTAATGACGTGATCCATACGGCCATCGACGTGGTCAGCTCGCTGCCGCCGCTGTCTCTGGCCAACGAGAGCAAGATCCCTCCCATGGGTCTGGACTGCCTGGCCCAGGTCACCACCTTCCTGAAGGGCGTGACCATGCCCAACTCCGGGGCGGACATCTTAGGCCGCCGCCTGGCCTCGGAGCTGCTGCTGGGCCTGGCGTCCCAGAGGGGTTCCCTGCGATACCTGCTGGACTGGATAGAGATGGCGCTGGCCGCGTCGGCTGTGGTGAGCAGCATGGAGGAGGGCGCGCTGCTGCAGAGCCAGGAGGGCCTGATGGGATACGACTGCTTCATGAACATCCTGATGCAGATGAGGCGCTCCCTGGTAAGTTCATGAACTCCATGCTCCGACGGCCTACCTACCCTTAATTTGAGTAGGTAAATAAGATGATTTGCCAATGGAATGAGGATTTTTACATTTAAAATAAGGTAATCAGATAATATACACTTGCTATAAGACAGTTAAATTGTGTTTTTCTTATTTTAAATGTAAATTGTCTTGTTCCATTGGCAAAGTGTTTCACTTATCTCCTCAATTCAAGAAGAAATGCACTTATTTTAGGAAAAAAATGACATCTAGATTTCCATTTTTTTCCAGTGAGTTGACTTAAAACCTGGAAAATTAGACAACATTTAGCAGAAACTAGAGATGAATAAATAAGAGAATCGGGAATAAAACCAGTGTCGATTCAGAACTAGGGCTGTGAATATTTGGGATTCCCACGATTCGATTTAGAATCGATTCTTGGTGTCACAATTCGATTTTTTTCCCCGATTCTTTTAAATCCAAACGATTCGATTCAGAAACGATTAATTTTCGATTCAAAATGATTCTCAGGATCTATTCCAGTCTGCTGGCATGAAAGAAGAGTACATTTATAAAGACTTTATAATTGTAAATATTTTATTTACCTATTGCAATAATGTAAACACAAAAAGGTAAATCCAAGACAACGAATTGTTAAACTTGTACAAATACAACACTATGTCTTTGGGTGATTTCTTCCGAGATGAGAACGGGGATTTGAAGAACTCCCGAAATATTTAACTCTGCAGTTGCAATCTCTGCAAATCACATGAGTCATGTCAAGCCCTTTCTTACCCGGGCCGGGTTGAAGGTAAAATCCAAAGTGTTTCCAAATGGTTGCTTTTAAAGACCGCGGAGGCGGTTGAATTTCTCTTTCTTCGTCCTCCATACTTTAGCTGCAACAAACACAGTAGCTCACACAACACTACACAGCAATCTGTAGCCTGCTAGGCTAACGCTGCCTGTGCATAGCTCATGCTGCTCATTGGTTTCGCCAAACACTACGGTGCCTGATAATGCACATCCGCACCCAAAAAAAAAAGTTTTTAAAGAAAATGAGAATCGATTCTGAATCTTTAAATGTTAGAGCTCAAATCGATTTTTTTCTTCACACCTACTCAGAGCACAGAAGGAATCAGTTTAAAGTCGGTTTCTCCATCAGGAGTTTGAAGGCACACCGTGTAACTTGTGGCCACTGGGGGGTCTAGCTCCCCTAGTGGCCACAAGCGCCACAGCACTGTCGCAAAAGTCAACAAACGGTCAGCTGGCCCCCCTCCCTCGTCTTTATCATCATCTTTATTTGTAGAGTGCTTTAAAACAGCTGCAGCTGAAAACAAAGCGCTGAACAAAATATAAAATAAGGCAATTATTTGAATTTGTTTAAGCTAAATGAACAAGGTAACAACAACCAAGGCCTGCCAGTGTTAAAACCCAGTGAATAAAAATCAGTCTTGAGCCGTGTTGTAAAATTCATCAGGGAAGTAGCCTCCCTAATGTGCAGCGGGAGGTTATTCCATAAACGAGGAGCAGCGATAGAGAAGGATCTGATGGACCGTCTTTTGATTGGAGATAACGCTAGGCATCGAGGCTCAGCTTGGAGGGGGTGAGAACCGCCGGGGCTGGCCAGACCGCACTAATCCGCACAGAGCTCCAGTGAACAGTAGGGGTGTGCAAAATAATCGTGATGATGATGCATCGTGATTCTAATTTTCGTGATCTACTGCATCGATTCTTGATGCCAAGAATCGATTATTAATTTAAAAAAATGAATAAATAAAATAACATGAATGGTTGGCGAACATCAGCCAAAAACAAGTGTAATACCACTTCCAGTCCAGTAGATGTCGCTGCAAATGTGTTGACGCACGCTGCCTTGTGTCACAAGC